AGTGATGGTCGCCAACTTGGAAGGTTTTAAAAGAGGTTTTGATGACTTTGTGGAGGATGAGGCTCTCGGTTATTATGTTTCTATATGTGTTTGAAGCCACCCAGAGTGACTGGGGCAACCCACCCAGATGGGTAGAGTATAAATAATAAAATTATTATTATTATTATTATTATTATTATTATTATACCTATGATGGCTACATTCTCCTACTCCTGCGCAAATGGGGAATTACCTGTACTGTACTGCTTCCTTGTTTGCTGCCCTGGGCTTCTTTGGGAGGAAAGGCAGGAAAAACAGTAATAAATAAAGTAGAAGAAAATAGTCATTCCCAAGCAGGACCCAAGCATAAGAGCAATCTCTCCTTCTGAGCTTTCCAGGAGCTGGTAATCAGAAGCTGGTATTCTGCCTCCAACCATAGAGAATGCTCAGCCATCATGGCTAGCAGTCATTGATAGTCACCTGCTCCCCAAGGACTCTGCATCTAATCCATCAGAACTCTTTGTATGTTTTGAACACACTAACTTGAGAATAAGCCTCACTGTGCTGGGTGAGATTTATTTCCAAGTAAGCATTGGGTTACGTTTTAGGATGCGTTACAGCCATTTCCGTCAGACCTACCATAACATTCATGGCAACAGCAGATGACTGCTGTTAGACGGTAGCTTAATTGGGTGTTTTTAATGATCAGATTGAATTCTGATTGAATTCTGTTCATGGCTTGGATGGTTTAAAATTGCATTTTTATTATTTTATATCAACCTCCATGGGGGTCCCTCTGGGTTAGAAAAACATGGTAAATTAAATCAAAAAATTAAACACATTTCCAGTACAATGCATGAATTGCTGCCTGATCATTCCCTTCAGCCTGTCAGTGTGGTCTCTCACTGCTCTCTGAAGTCCCTCTGGTTGTTCATTATCTTTAATGAGCTGAGGTGTCTAGGAGGGAGTATTGCACGCCAGATACACTTGGGCCAAAATCCAGTGTTTGGCAGAATAAAGGCTGGCAAAGGGAGCTTTGGCTTTACAACATTCTGATACGATGCCAACTTACAAACATAACGCATTTCATTACCCTACTTTTCCATAGCTCTCTCGTTGTGATGCTGCTAACATCCTTGTGCCCGCTGGGCCTTTTTGGGGAGCCATATTCTCTTCCTTCATTCCTTGTCCTCTCTGCCCAAGTGCCTGGTCCCTCTGGATCCACACTGCAAGGGCAATTGTCGTGAGTGCTGAGTGTGTAGGCGCTAGGGAGGCACCAATCGGTCTGTTTCAGTTTCTGCCCATTTCTCATTTTTCCAATCTTGTGTTGAGTTCTCCACATTTTGCAATGCAGTATTTTTCAAACTCCTCATGAAACTTCATCAGCAATTTAGGACAAAATTTCTCCTAATATACACAAGTTGGTATGCATCTATACCCGGTACACATATTTTTGCACAGCAAATTTCCCCAAATACAATGCATTTCTGTATGTTGCTTTCACTAATATATCCAGCTATAAGCACAGATTACCCCACTTTGGGCATTTTTGTACTTACTGGAGAACTGCATTGCAAATTTAGGGGAATTTCAAATTTCAAAAGATGCATGTGCTTCAGTTCTCATACTGTTTGGGAAATTATGCATTAGGTGGGTTTGCATTTAAATGAAAGCGGAGTTGAGCTTCTCCCCCATCCTCAGTAGGTACTCACCCTCACCTGCAAGCCTATTAAATCAATGCATATCCAAGTTGCATTTGGCTTAAATCCAAATCCATTGGGCCAAGCTACACATTACATGAGCAATTGGATCTCCTCACGTTAAATTTTTAATGAAATGCAACCAGGCAGTTTGGTTAGAGGAGCAGTGCTGGGATAAGGGGTGTGTAACTGTTTCTTTGCCACATTTCCTGATCCAAATTAGCCTTTGCAGAGAAAAATCCATGTCTCAACTGTACTAACGATACTAAGAGATCTGCAGCTTGAATCTGGGGGGGGGGGGGAGTTCTGCAAGAGGATCGTGGAACAGACTCCCTTGGGAAGTTGTGGGGTCTTCTTCATGGGAGGTTTTTAAAAAGAGATTGGGTGGTCATCTGCCTTGGATGCTTTAGTTGAGATTCCTGTGTAACATATAGTTTGCCTATTTGTTATAAGTGGGTGGTCACTTCGTGTGATGCCCACAATGGTTCTGTTATTCTGCCGCTATGTCTGTATGATAGCTGCACACGCTACAGATCTCCTCTCAGTTTTAGAGCTTCAGAATATTATCCATATTTTCCTTGCCTTGCCTAGGAAATGGAGTAAGGTTTCAAGTGGGAGGGTTTGTTCACAGTGGTGCCAATTAACACATTTTGCTTGAGAACAATTTTTGAAATATTCGCTGCTCGTCTCAGAGAAGTCGTGTGCGGGAGGGAATCAATTTCCCTTAATGATGTTTTCCTTCCTTTGATGTCTGGGCTGTAGAGTAGACACACTGCTCTCACCAAGTATGAGAACAAACAATGAGGTGTGCCAAGAAGATATGGCAGTGGTTAGATGGCCCTGACTGCCAAAGAAAGGGTATGTCTGGAAGAGGAGCTTTCAAATTGCAGCCAGAAAGAAGTGGAAAAGGTATTTGGAAAGACACACTTAGAAAAATAAATTGCAACATTCCCTGCCAGTGGCATGGAAATGGTATTCACGGGGGCCATACTCCTGAATGCATTTCATTTCATATAATACCACACCACTGCCACTGGTGCTGTGCCCTTGGTAATCAGGAGATGTTTTACTTATGGAAGGGGTGAGTTGGGAACTTTCTTATCCCAAAGACCACATTGCTTTGTGTGCAACCTTTTGGGTGATACATGCTGGGGTGGGAGAGGAAAGAAGGCAGAATTGCATACAAAAATGTGCATATTAGGTGAAGGCTGCACTACAATGCTGAAGAATTTCCATGAAGACTTTTTCTTTTTAAAAAAAAATACAAAGAGATGTGGAAATGTGAAAAACCAAATGGAAGATTGGAAAGATTAGAAAGTGAAATGGACAGATTTGTCCATCCCTACCCTCAACTTCACAGGACTGGGATCATATCAATTAGGAGGAAATAGTCATGTGTGTGAGGTAGATCTTAGAAGGATCTTAGGCAGCTCTTTGTCAAAGTTTTCATGGAGTTCCAGTGTGAATATTTCAGAGAATGTTCACAGCCATGCCTTGTCATGGGGGTGAATCTGTAGATTTAGGTTTCTCTCAGTTTCTCATTTTTCCAGTATTCAGCTCTGCACATTTCCACAACCGTTTGCATTTTTTAAACAACAAAAGTCCTCACGAAAATCCATCAACATCTTAGTGTGAATTTCTACCAATATACTCATGATTGTAGGTAATTTTGGCTAATATCCACATTTCTGCAAAGCCCTTCCCCCTAATATAGCACTTTGAAAAATACTACATAAGCAACTTATGTACACATAACCCTAGTATATATATTTTTGCACATATTGCATGCCTTGAGAACTGCATTGCAATATTCAGAGAAATGCAAATTTTGAAGGATGGCTATGTTTTGGTTCATGTAGTGTTTCAGAAAGTGCAAGTTGGGTACGTTCACCTGAGAATGTGAAGTGAATCTTATTTCTCCTCCTTCACTGCTTGCTTCCCATGATAAGCTGTTCACAATGGTCTGAATGTAAGAGAGAAAAATAAATAGCTATCCCATCCTTCAACATGAGGGAATCATATAACCAGTACCTGTTTTTCCCAAAAGCAAATGGTTTGAGGTGCTGCAGATTTCATGAATGGCATTTTCAATTATTCAGTTGGACACAAAAATAACATGGAGAAAATACCTCGCAGTTTCTAATGTCTGTGGGAAGAGTCACAACTATACCATTTACACCAATATAGATGTATACACACACACACACACACACACAGAGAGAGAGAGAGAGAGAGAGAGAGAGAGAGAGAGATTTGATGTTTCCATGGAGACAGAAAACAAAAATAAGAATATGAAAGTCTCTTATACCACTTACCTCTCTTTTCAAAAACCCTGAATTTCTTTGCATCCTTTTCACATCTGAATACGAAAAGACAAATTTCTGTTATTAGTTATTTTTAGTTAATAAAATGAACATATTTATTGTCTACCCATTCATTGCAGGGGGAGCTTTGAAACCTCTGGATATAATGTGCTGCAGTCATCTTGTGGCGACTGTACCACATCAGTTTTCATGTGTGATACCATTTGTTTTGCAGGTTTGAAAAGTCTGTTCCATTTTTTTAAAAAAGAACCGTGTAACAGAAGAATTCACATAGCCTAGGTTTCTCTCATGTTAATAGAGAAGTCACTGTATTGCAAAATTAACACAAGGATAGGCCTCTAGTGGTGAAAGAGCAGGAAGATGTATATAACAAGAAGTAGAAATTACAAGAATGGTGGGAAAGCACATGTTTTACCTGCAGAAGGTCACAAGTTCAATCCTTGTCTTCCTCAACAAATAGGAACATACTAAGTCAGACAATTGGTCCAATTTGCTCAGTATATAGGAATGGAAGGATCTGTCAACTTTGGTTCTCTCGGTTTCTCATTATTATTTTTCAATCTTAAATTCAGTTTTCCACATTCCTGAATAAATCTGATTTTTTTGTTTTTTAAAAAATACTCATGGAAAATTTTGAGCATTTTAATGCAAAATTCTCCAACTACACTCCTTTTTATATGCAATTTTGACAAATGCACACATTTCTTGCAAACAGGTTTTGTTAGTATAATGCATTTTTGTATGTTATTTGCACAAATATATTCATTTTTATACACACTTTCCCTTAACATATGCATTTTTGTGAACGTTGATTAGAGAAATTCTGTGAATGTCATATGCTGGCTGTGTTTTGCTTCTCATATCCCCCCTCCCCCTGGAAAGTGTGAATCTGATAAATCTGGCTTTAAATGCAACATGAATAAAATTTCTCCTGATCTCTAATTGCCTATGCTGACTGGCACTGACTTTCCATGATTTCAGACTGAATATTTCATACAGGAAATGTCAGGGATCGAACCTGGGACCATCTGCATACAAAACAGATGTTCTACCACTGAGCAATAGCCCTTAACAAGTGATGGGAAAGTTCTCTGCCAAGACCCTGGAGAGCTGCTGCTAGCCAGAGCTGACAATACTGGGCTAGACAGATCTACTGTCCAATTCAGTGTAAGGCAAATCCAGACATTAAGGATGGTGGTGCTTTGTGCAATGGCTGGGAATTAATTTCTAAAGTGGGATGCAGTGGTAGCTCAGAAGCTGTAGGCTATGTGACTGACTGGGAATTTCCTCTTCCTTATCATAGGTGTATGGAACTTAGCAGTGATTTATGCACTCTGGCACAGTGGTCCTTTTGGGCCAGTGTGTGCAACATCTTAACCTCTCCTCGTACCTACGGGACTGCCTCTCCTGGTATGTCCCACAGAGGAACTTACGGTCTTCAAATAAAAACATCTTGGAGGTCCCAGGCCACAGAGAGGTTAGGCTGGCCTCAATCAGAGCCAGGGCTTTGTCGGCTGTGGCCCCGATCTGGTGGAACGCTCTGTCACAAGAGACTAGGGCCCTGCGGGACTTGACATCTTTCCGCAGGGCCTGCAAGACAGAGCTGTTCCACCAGGCCTTTGACCAGGGCACAGCCTGACTCCCTCCTCTGGCAATCTTCACAGAACTCTAGCCCAATGGTTGCCATCAATTTTATTTGGATCAATTTTATAATGAAATGATTTTAGAATGTTGTATTATTTTATTGTTGTTAGCCGCCCTGAGCCCGGCTTTGGCTGGGGAGGGTGGGATATAAATAAAAATTTATTATTATAATTATTAAGCTACTCCAGCTGCTAGCAAAGGGATTTGCAAAGTTCTCGTTCTCATTCTCTTTCCTTCTCCCTTTTTCAATCTCTCTCCTTCTGCCTATATCTTCTCTGTACAAAGTAAGCATTAGCTGTGCTCTTTCATCTTGCCTAGACTAAGTGGCAAGAGCACTATGGCAACTAAGACATTTCCCATCTGTCAGCGATTACTGAGCCTCAACAGCTGTCAACAGTGAGGGCTTCACTTTCTGTTTTTAGCTATGTGTACATAAAAAGGGGATAAAACTATGTTTTAAGCCCCAGCTGGAGCAGGAGGAAGCCTGCGATGTGCAACCACAACTCAAGAAGGTGTTTGTGCAAAAAAGAAGACACCCCTCTCCAAAACTCCCAGGACTTCTGGAAAGGTACCCAACATGGAACCCTCCAGATATTGCTGAACTCCAACTCCCATCAGCCCCAGCCAGTATGGCCAATTGTCAAGGGATAATGAGAGTTGTAGTCACAGCAACATCTGGAGGGCAGCACATTGGCTCTTCCTGATCTTGAAGAAGAACAGGACAATCTGCTCTTCCATTGTGCCTCTGTTTTGTTCAGTGGCAGGCCAGATATTTCCAGTACAGGACTGGGACACGGCCATGATTTCTCTACATAGCCCAAGAGCGTTGCATAAGACATCCTTTTCAAACACGGTTAATATGTAAACATATTAAGCTGCCGCTTCCTGAATTGGTCTATCTAGACTAGTATTGTCTAGTCTGACAAGCACCAGCCCTCTAAAGACATCAGGCACCCCTGTCCTCCTCCTCCTTCCTGGCAAAAGTCAATGCACAGCCTTCCTGGGCTGTCTTCTCGGGTGCCCTGACTCCAGAGAGCATGTCTGCCAGCATGTTTTCCTGCTTGATCGCCGCCACCACGCCGGGGATTGGGGTGGTGGGGGAGGCAGAGGACATTTTCCACCCCCTCCCTTGTTTTAGAGTTGCCGGGGGGGTGCCGGAGGGATCGTTGCACCACAGCACTGGATATGCTTAAGACTGCCCTGGTGCCCACCACAGGTTGCCCTTTCTTTTAAGCAGATAAACTCTTTACAGTAACCTTCCCCAACTCAATACTGTCCAGATGGTTTAGACTACAACTCTCATCAGCCATTGGCTATGCTGGCTGCAGCTGATGAGAATTGTTGCTTGAAGCATATGGAGGGTACCAGGTTGAAGAAGGCTGCTTTCTAGCCCAGTTAAGTAAAATAAGAGACCCAGAGATTACTAACTAACAATTGAAAAGCATCTACACTAATGTAGATAATAATGTAATGTTATTGACTGAACTTTGAATCAAGGCACTAAAATCATTTTTCACTGGTGTGCAGCAAAGAGGGAGAGGAAGCTCCAGTGATTAGTGCTTCCTCTCTTTTTTCCACTTCCTTGTTTAAGATCCTAAGAGGGAACTCATGCATGAGCTCTATATCCAGTGGCAACTGATGCCCACTGGAACTGGTAGAGGGGCCAACGGTAGGTAGAGCCAGTGCCAATGACACAAAGAGCCAACTAACCCTAGTTTTGTCCCATCACCCTCCTACTGTGTTGTACATGGGCAATGCTGAGACTAAGAAGAAGGCAGCTGACAGAAAGTCCCGCTCATTGCACTGGATGTAAGCAAGAAGGCAGGCTGGTGAGAGGTGGCTGAGGGTAGAGTGAGGTTGTTGGTGCAACACCATGCTTACTCTAATGGACCAGCCTCCTCCTTCGATAGTCTGTGTCTCTGACAGGGAAATGCATGACTTCTCTCTTCCCCAGAAGAGAACCGCAAGCTGCCATTTTGATTGTTACACTGGAAGTGTGAAAGAAGAAATATGAATTGTTGATGCTTCTATTCCTCCACACAAACGTGTCCAAGACTGCCCTAAGGCAATCAAGGGATGGGTTCATTTTTTTCCTTCCCGTGTTCTGGTCTCTTGGGCCAAAGGGCCCTTAATAAGCATTGTGGCAGCACCAAATAGAAATGAGAGAAGATAAAATTAGAATCATAGAATTGTAGAGTTGGAAGGGACCAGACTGAGCTTTGCATTCTTCCCCCCCTCCTAATTATGGAAAGGGAAAAAAGCATACTGGAAGTACCTTGGAAGGCTGCGGAAGATCAAAAAGCTGCCATTTGGGGTATGCTTGTTTTTCCTAACCCCGACATCATGAGGTTAGGCTGTTAAAGCCATTTCATCAGGCACTTTCCCTCCTCTTCTTTGAGGACTGTTTGTGAGTGTCCTTTTGCTAGCTGTTACGAGACACTTTGAGACACTTTGTTTACCTCTGTCCTGGCTAATTGAGTGTGTGGATTTACGCCCATGAAAGGCCTAGTTCCAAACTGCCAAGAGCTCTGCATCATCATTTCTTATCTAACCATAACTGCAAGAAGCCTGGAACAAAGTTACTTTAGGTTTTAGTACAATAAAGGCGGTTACGGCCCCAGGTCAGACTGGTGCTCCCATGGCTTGACAATCTTATGTGCATTTATTCATACCTAATTTATATATTATTATTATTACTATTATTATTTATTAAATTTGCATATCACCCTTCACCTGAAGATCCCAGGGTGGTTCATAACAGGAAAATATAAAATGAGAACACATTGGCAGTAGGAAAGGGTAGGAAATTTGATTCAGTTTGCATATAAAGGTGAACCTACATAATGTACACATTCTGAAAAACAGCCATCCTTTAAAATTCTCACTTTTCTGAATTTTGTGGTGCTGTCATCCAGCCTGGCAAGGTATACAAAAACGCATTACCGGGCTAAAGTGTGCATAAAATGTTTACATTAGTGAAAACAACATAAAAATACATTATGTGGAAGGAAATCGCTTGCAGAAATATGTACGTTAGTCAGAACTGCATGCAAAAATGCACTTATTTGGAGAAATTCGAACTAAAATGCTGATGAATTTTCATGAGGATTTTTTTAAAAAAGAAGTTGCATATCTGTAATGGTTCTAGGGGTTGCTTGTGCGTAAGCCGGTGCAAACACCTGGCTGGATTGCCTGAGTGAACCTTTTCTGTCCGGACAGCCACTCACCCATGGCTGTCTCAATCGCTGGCAGAATCCGTCAGTGGGCGTTTCTTAAACTTCTTCCAGCAAAGAAGCTCTTTGACGCCTAGTCTCCGCCTACTCTCGTCCGCCAATCCCGGGACGCTCTCCAGAATCCCTCTGGATTTTGCTCTCTCCCTCCGGCACTGATGGCAGTTCCCTGACAATATCGCTGCAGAAATGTGGAGAATTGTACTGTATTGGCCCGAATATAAGCTGCACCCGCAAATAAGCCACACCTTTAAAATTCAAGGGGGGGGGAGACAATACCCGAATATAAGCCGCTCCCTTAAAATTCCACAGGCACTCACATAGTTCTGCTTTTCCCGCGCCTCACATACTGAGCCGCTGGGCAGTTTATCTCTGGGGAGTGGCCTCTGCAAGTGGCTGCCCGGCCCTGCACTCCCTTGAGTGTGTTCTCTCTGCTCCCTCCCCTCCCCTCGCTTTGCCTTCTGCCTTTGGTAGTGCTCAGGTGTGTGGCTCCAGCATTGGGCTTTCCACACCCCCCCATCCCATTCCCATAATTTTGGTGCACTACGCTCCGCGTTGCCTATTACACGGGGGCGTTATGGTTTAACCCCCTCTTCTCCATTGCTTGTTGTTGCTGGAGCGCCTCTCCACGAGGCCCTGAGGCGTCCAGGCAGCATCGCAGTGTCCCTGCTGCCTTTTGTTAGCTTCTTTCCCACGGTGAGCCATGTGGCTGGCGCCATTTTACCTGCGACCGTGTGACTATCTCTGTGCTGCTGGCTTTATTCCTTAACCCCTTAAGTGCAGTTTGTTTATAATGTTAGTGGGCCCTGGTGTGTTTTCAGCACCTTTCCACCTCTTCCTCTCTTCCATTCGCCTGTTGTTGCCTGAATGCTTGAGCGCTTCACCACGAGGAGCTGGGGAGAGCAATATCGTAAAAGCCCATTTTTGTAAGGTTTCGAATTTAAGCCGCACTTAAACTTTTCACGATAGGAATTTGGAAAAAAGTGCAGCTTATATTCGGGCCAATACGGTATGTGGAAAAAATGAGAATGCGAGTGAACCAAAACTGACAAATCCATCTATTTCTATTTCCCTAATTGGAAATATACTTAAAATCAGCAAAGTCACAAAACAACAGTAAAACTCTCCAGGAGCAGCAACAGTCATAATTCCATCACTTCTCAGAGACATTAATTAAACAATCCATTACAATGA